CTGTGATTGTCTTTACCAGGTTGAAGTTCAGTCGAGTAATCATCCAATGTATACTGCTGACCTAATAAATGTCCTCTTCCGATTCCCAGCGGTTTATGGAGATTTTTCACACCCACCATCATTTTTTGATGGGTCTCTAAAGGTGGACTAGGGACATGTGAGACACTGGGCTGAACAGACTTCCATGAAGACACCGGTTGTGAGTATGCAGGCTGTGGTTGGTATGCTCCCGGTGGTGGTTGTGTCACCTTACTCACAGCTGCTGCAGTATGTGTTTGTTTCTTCTGAGGCTGTGGTTGATATGCTCCTGAAGGTGGTTGCGTCGACTTACTCACAGCAGAATGTGTTTGTTTAGTCTGAGCAGCAGCCACATGCAAACCCGGAATAACTTTGAGTTTGTCATCTTCCAAACCTTTCTCGGGGAAAAATTTCTTATTGATCTGTGAATATGCTGTTGGTAATGGAGCATTCAGCTGGAAGTGTCCACCTTTTCCAGTTGGTTGAATTTTGTTGGGATCTTTTTCCTCAGGAGGTATATATCTGTGTGGATCACTGTCTGGTAATGTGATAACACGGCCCATTGAATCATAGATGACATTGCCCCTTTTTTGGCTTTCAACCACATCCTCATCAACACCGAGCAATGTAGTCAGAGCAATCTTAGCTGCTAATGTTTTGGCCTCTTTCTTAGTTCTTCCAACTCCTGAAGTGGAACAAAAAAAAAAAAAATGAAGAACACAATATAGTTTGACAGATGCAGATGAGAAGCAGATCTATATGATGAACTGAATAGACCTAAGTGTAGACAAATATATCAGCACCATAACATTTATTTTGAAGTGAACAGATCTTTAGCATTCTCCCAAGGCTTCTTAAGCATCAATCATGCTAACCAGCTGCTAATATTACTGATGCTTTGTTTACAAGTCCCAGTTTGTCTGGCACAAACTTAAAACGATACAATTATGAATCCATCATGGATTAAAAAGGTTATACATGTATTTAATAATTGCATAATAATAATTAAGAGTTTGTATAGCGCCTAATATCCATCACGATGATGCTAATGAAGCTGTCAGTTCACAGAAATGCTCTCTGAAACATATAAGTTTTGAGTTTAGATTTGAAAATGTTTAAAATGGCTGCAGAACGAATGGTTGTGCAAATTAATTAGTGTATTAGTATCAAAACTAACTATGACAGACAGATGTTAAAAATCAACAATGGAAGTGGTGAGATAAACAGGCATAAATAATGTACCTTGTTTATGTATGAAACCATCCGTGGTGCATGTGAAAGCAAACTTAGGCACAATAACTGAGCAGTCCAGGACTGGACTTTCCTCGTACTTCAGTTTTATTCTACGCATCTGAGCAAACTCGTTCAATGCAGCGCAGGCATTCTTGGCACCAGATAAGAATTTCTGAATCAACTCAGGTGGTACTTTCTTGGGACAGGCCATCTCTTCCTGTGCACGCATCTGTAGCTGTGTTACAGGTACCAGTGTAGTACCGGTCACTGGTGGAGCTGACAGAGAATTGTAGGTTATCTGTGCTGTACTATGCCCAGGACCTACAGCTGAGGCATAGCTGATTGTTGCAGGGGCTTCAGAGACGACAGGTGGTTCTTCTTGTTGTTGAATACCTGCTATTAGGCGACTAGGCATTTGCTGTCCCTGTAACACCTGTGGCATGCTGCGAGGAAGACGGAGACTGCCAGTTCCTGTTGACTGTTGCTGACTGATCTGATAGAACGCATCACGTGTCAAAGAATTAGCCATTGCAGAAGCTAAAAGAATAAGACAAAATTCAATCAATCAAAAGAGCAAGTCAAAAAATGAGAAGCTACATGCACATTGTAACAAAAATGAGGAAAGATCACATAAAACCATATCTGAGAAAAATGCATTTAACAACCTTTCTGAACATCATAACTAAATTATTGAAGGGATCAACTAATGCGGATCCGATTGGCACCAAGAATCTGTGATCAGAGCAACATTTGCCAAACAAGGATATTGTTTACCGGTACATAACACTACATACTTGTGTGTGGCAGGCTAACTGACTGGTAACTGACCAATTACTATATATTTGTCACTCCCTCTTTTTTAAAATGATAAATATACATTGTAATGTCATTATGTGGAATGTAAACAGACATACCATATTTGTTATATTACTTGCATATCTCCAATAGAAATGCACAAGAAAAGGAAATACTTATTTTGTTGATAGAAACATCTGATATTTACATATCGTATGTTCTACTAATACAGTGTTCTCTCTGGAATACTAACATGGTGGTACCAGTGACCACCACAGTGATATGTTCTACCACCAGTCATTATCCAGACTACCACAGTGCCATTGCTGAATTTTTAAATCAAATTGATAAGCTGCTGAAAAATTAAAACTTGCGTGTAGTTGAAGCAAAAGTTAATAATTTTGTGTATTGACAATTGAGAACAATATTAATCACAATTTTTGTTCGAAATAATTATGCAAATAATATGCAAATTAGTATGTTAACTTTTACCACAACAGTGTTCTCGACAAATCCTGAACAGGCCACACCTCCAACTGTGCCGTGCGTTCAGACTAACCGTTAATTATTCATAAATGGAGTAAATTTGTGTAGTTTTCTTGATTTATTCTGCAGATACAAGGTAAAATATAGGTAAGACTTTGGCGAA